GACGACCCCATGGTCATCAGTGTAGAGATCAACAATTGTATTGTGAAGAAGAAGTTGGTGGATCAGGGAAGTTCAGCCGATATCTTATATTGGAAAACTTTTGAATAGCTAGGTATACCCAAGCGCGAGTTAGCACCTTATAAAGAGCCTTTGGTTGGATTTTCAGGTGAAAGAGTAGATACCCGGGGACGATAGATCTATACACCTATTTCGGGGACGACCAGCAAAGGCGAAGGATTAGAGTACGATACGTGGTGGTACATGCTAACACCTCGTACAACATCCTATTGGGCCGACCTTCCCTGAACAAGCTCTGAGCTATCGTCTCCACCCCCCACCTAGCTATGAAGTTCCCCTCAGAAGAAGGAACGGTGATCACTCTGCACGTCGATCAAAAGACGGCCCGCGAATGTTATTTTGCCAGCCTAAAGGTGCAGCCAACTCCGAAGCCAAGACGAGAAGTCAATGTCATAGGCGATGTCTGCCAATAGAGTCCATTCATAGACTTGGAGCTTGACCCACGGATCGAAGACGAGCACCGAGTTGAACCAATTGAGACGACAATCCTGTTTCAACTCGGGAGAAATGAGGAACAGGTCACGTACTTAAGTTCCCAATTGTCAGAGGATGATGCAAGAGAAATTAAACAAATCCTTGTAAAGTACTCGGACCTATTTGCCTGGACGGAGGCTGACATGCCAGGCATCGACCCAAGTTTCCACTGCCATCGGCTCTCCGTGTGCCGAGATGCCAAGCCCGTCGCCCAGAAGAAAAGAAAAATGGGAGGAGAAAGGGCTGAAGTGGTGAAAGAAGAGACGACCAAGCTATTGCAAGCGGGGTTCATTAGGGAAGTCAAGTACTCTACTTGGTTGGCCAATGTGGTAATGGTCAAGAAGGCGAATGGCAAGTGGCGGATGTGTACCGACTACACGGATCTGAACAAGGCATGCCAAAAAACTCCTATCCCCTACCACACATTGACGCGTTGGTCGATGGAGCGGCAGGTCACCAAAGGCTTAGTTTCCTAGACGCCTATTTAGGGTATAATCAGATACCCATGTACCCACCAGATGAAGAGAAAACTGCGTTTATCACCGATTCAGCCAACTTTTGCTACAAAGTAATGCCATTCGGTTTGAGAAACGTGGGGGCAACCTACCAGCGACTCATGGACAAGATCTTCTGGCGGCAGATAGGAAAATGCATGGAAGTGTATGTGGATGACATGGTGATTAAATTGGTCTCCACTATTGATCACGTAAAAGATCTCGGAACAATATTCGACGAAGTGAGGCGGCATCACATGCGATTAAATCCAGGGAAGTGCACCTTCGGAGTCGCTGGTGGAAAGTTCTTAGGCTTCATGTTGTCAAAGAAAGGCATAGAAGCTAACCCCAACAAGTGCCAGGCCATCGTTAATATGAAAAGCCCACGTAACGTAAAAGAAGTACAATGATTGGCCGGGCGCATAGCTTCATTGGCTCGTTTTCTGCCCTGCATGGCGGACAAGTCAAGACCCATAATGTCCTTGTTGAAGAAGGCCAGCAAGTTCAAATGGACTGAAGAATGCGAGTCCTCGTTTCAAAACTTCAAGACAATGCTCACTGCCCTGCCGTTGCTTGCTAAACCAAACTCCCTACTTGAGATGATTGTCTACATTTCGGTATCAGACAAAGCTATTAGCACGGCTCTAGTGCAAGAACATACAGAACAAATGTCGGTATACTTCATCAGCCGAGTATTGCAAGAAGCCGAGACCCGATACCAACATCTTGAGAAAACGGTTCTAGCTCTCGTACACACAGCCCGACATCTTCGACACTACTTCCAGAGCCACAAATTCATCGTCAAGACAGATAGCCCGATTGTCAAGATATTGCGGAAGCTCGAACTAGCCAGACGGATGGTTGCTTGGTCCATAGAACTATCACAATTTGATATTTGTTTTGAACCAAGAGGACCCATCAAGGCACAAGCATGGCCGACTTCATAAATCAATTCACCCAGAAGTACTTCCCGACCCACACATTTGGACTCTGCATGTGGATGGGTCATCGAACCAACAAGGCAGTGGAGCCGGCGTTATACTGGAAGGTCCTAGTAAAATGGTGGTCGAACAATCACTACGATTCGGCTTTAAGACCTCCAACAACCAAGCCGAGTACGAGGCCCTTCTCGCAGGCTTAAGGTTGGCAAACGACTTAGGTGTTACCAGAATCAAGTGTTGGAGCGACTCACAAGTGGTAACAGGCCAAGTCAACGGCACCTTCCAAATCAAAGAGCCAACGCTACTTTTATACTTCCATGCTTTTCCAGAAGCTGAAGAACAACTTCGAAGACGTCCACGTTGAACACACACCTCGAGAACTCAATACCAGAGCTGACTAATTGGCCAAACTGAAAGCAGTAAAAAGATTAGCCACTTGCGCAGCATTATACAGTAAGAATTGCAAACACCAAGTGTGGGGGAAACCGAATGCTTGCAAGTCCAACAGGGAGACGAAAATTGGATGACCGGCATAACACGCCATCTCTCAATTGGGGAATTACCAAGCAATCCCCTCGAAGCAAGGAAGGTAAGGGTCATTGTCGCCCGATACACGATGATTGTAGGAGAGCTGTACAAGCGAGGCATTTGTTCACCTTTGTTGAAATGCCTTACACCCGAGCAAGCACATTATGTCATCCGTGAAATCCACGAAGGCATATGCGGAACACACTCAGGGGGACGAACCTTAGCCGCCAAAGTCATCCGAGCAGGTTACTATTGGCCCACCCTCACGAGTGATTGCATAAAGTTCACCCAACAATGCAAGTCGTGTCAGCAACATGGCCCGTTAACAGACCTACCGGCCGAAGAACTACACTTCATCACGACCCCATGGCCCTTCTCGGTATGGGGTATGGATATCCTAGGACCATTCCCACCAGCAAAAGGGAAAGTCAAGTTCCTCATAGTGGCAGTCGACCATTTTACCAAGTAGATCGAGGCAGAAGCAGTTGCCACTATTTTAGCCAACAACGTGCAAAAATTCTTTTGGAAGAATGTCATTACCCGGTTTGGAGTACCATATGCCCTCATCACAGACAACGGCCTATAATTCACGGATCGTCGCTTCAATGAATTCCTCGAAGGACTTCAGATTAAACACCGGGTGACATCGGTGGAGCACCCCCAATCCAACGGACAGGCAGAGGCGGCCAACAAAGTCATTCTAAGGGAACTAAAAAGGTGCCTCGGACAAGCTAAGGGACAATGGCCTGATCACTTGCACGAGATTTTGTGGCCCTATAGATGCACTCCGCAGAGCTCGACCAAAGAAACACCCTTCCGGCTAGCATACGGAATCGATGCCATGATCCTGGTGGAGATAGAGGAGCCCTCTCTCAGACGACAACAATTCACTGAAGAAGCCAATGAGGAAGCACTCAACGTAGAACTCGACTTCCTTGAGGAAGCACGCGATCGGGAATTCATCAACATGGAAGCATGTAGAGCAGGAGCCAATGAGGAAGCACTCAACGTAGAACTCGACTTCCTTGAGGAAGCACGCGATCGGGAATTCATCAACATGGAAGCATGTAGAGCACGCGTTTCCCGAAAGCATATGAAATCAAGTCACGCGAATTCCATCCAGGCGACCTTTTTTGGAGGGTAGTGGGAGAAGCAAGAAGAGACAGAGCTCAAGGAAAACTAGCCCCCAATTCGGATGGCCCTTTTCGAGTAAGGCACAATCTCAACAATGGAGCCTACAAACTCAAAGAACTCAATAGGAAGATCATCCCGCAAACTTGGAATGTCACGCATTTGAAGCACTACTTTAGTTAGCAAAAGTTATGTATTCATTTCGGGGCACTCTTTTCCTTTCCCAGGTTTTTCCCTCTTATAAAAATGTGAAAGAGGTTTTACTGAGAAAAGGTTTTTAACGAGGCTCCACATCAATGAAACAAACCGTATTCTTTGAAGGAATCTTATACTTGCTCAATTTAATCTAAAAGAAAACACTTAGTCCCTCCCGAGTATCCCTACTTGGCCAACGTTGAACACTTAGTCCCTCCCGAGTACCCCTACTCGGCCAAGGTTGAACACTTAGTCCCTCCCGAGTACCTCACTCGGCCAAGGTTGAACACTTAGTCCCTCCTAAGTACCCCTACTCGGCCAAGGTTGAACACTTAGTCCCTCCCGAGTACCTCACTCGGCCAAGGTTGAACACTTAGTCCCTCCCGAGTACCCCTACTCGGCCAAGGTTGAAGACTTAGTCCCTCCCGAGTACCTCACTCAATCAAGGATGGAACACTTAGTCCCTCCTGAGTACCCCTACTCAGCCAAGGTTGAACACTTAGTCCCTCCCGAGTACCCCTACTCGGCCAAGGTTGAACACTTAGTCCCTCCTGAGTACCTCACTCGGCCAAGGATGGAACGTTTAGTCCCTCCTGGGTACCCCTACTCAACCAAGGTTGAACACTTGGTCCCTCTCGAGTACCTCACTCGGCCAAGGATGGAACATATATTCCCTCCCGAGTACCCTTACTCGGCCAAGGTTGAACACTTAGTCCCTCCCGAGTACCCTTACTCGGCCAAGGTCGAACACTTAGTCCTTCCCGAGTACCTCACTCGGCCAAGGATGGAACACTTAGTCCTTCCCGAGTACCTCACTCGGCCAAGGATGGAACACTTAGTCCCTCCCGAGTACCCCTACTCGGCCAAGGTTGAACATTTAAACCCCTCCCAAGTACCTCACTCAGCCAAGTACTACCACGTCGTCAACGAGGCACAACAAGCAACAGCCTAAGTATTTTCACTTGGCCAAAGGGAGGTACAACCGAAAGCCTACCAAGAAAGAAGGGGATCCCTCCCCTCTCGGCCAAGAAAATACTTGTGGAACATCCCAATCGTTAATACAAATCTGAGCCGGTTCGTTTAATTAACATATAAATTGATCAAGGACTGAAATAACATCGAATATACAGGAGCATAACAGAAAAATAAAGCCCGAATATGTGAAAAAGAAATACTTCATTCAAGCGACACTAATGGCCGAAGGTACAATGTTGAGCTGGCTCTAATGGCCCAAAGAATCAAAAGTGTCCGATAGACGAGCCACAAACTAGAGAAACAAAAAAGCAACCTATATCTATACATCTTCCTCAAAACAGATGTACAACCAAAAAGTTTAATGTCGAAGCCCTTCAATCGGCATTCGTAGTCTGCTCGGTCTCCTCGTCATCATTCAAAGTAGTCCCGGGATCTTCAGGGGCAGTCGACCGGGGGCGAGCCACTTCGTCCGGCTCAACATCAGGGGCGTCGGCAAAATCCATATATGCCTCTTGAAAGAAGTCTTTGCTCAACTCAAATGAAAAATTCGGAGGAAAGGTGCCGAAATGGGTTGCCTGCCGGACCGCATGCATAAAACCAGCTTCGTGCTCTTTGATAATTTTGTTTTCACAGTCGGCCCGGAAAGCAGTCAACGAAGCCTCGGCGCCGGCTTTAATTTGAGCCTCACGAGCCAAGACTTCCTTCATTTCCTGCACCCTCATCCTTTCAGCATCCTCGGCCGCTAGGGCTCGGCCTTCCATCTCGCCGACAGCCTCCTTCAAACGAGCCACCTCGGCTTCCAAGTTCAACTTCTCGTTTGAGGTCGCCTCATGAGCCTCCAGCGATTCCTGGAAGGCTGCCTTCGTCTCCTCCAAGCTCTTCCGGAGATTGTGGATGTCGGCCATGGGTTCCAAAGCAAGTTTCCGAAGGATAGCCGTGGCTCGCACTTGCAATTCACAAGCCATAGCCCATTGGGCCGACGGGGCTGCCGAATCCAGCATGCGATGCCCCTGTTCGGATAAGAGGTCCGAAGACATCAGCTGCGAAGGGCGAATCTCCTCGAAAAGGAAATCCTTCACCACAATGGCCGAAGGAACAGCCAAGTCTGACGACTCCTCGACACGCCGATGTTTAGGCCGAGCCGCTTCAGAGGTCGCTGTATCGACCCTTCTTTTCCCCTTGTCTTTCTTTTTCTTGTTGGCATTGGGATCAGGCATATCAATAGCTGGGGGAGGAGGTTGCACTCGGTCACAACGGGAACTTGGTTGATGGCCACAATTCGGTGATCATCGGCCGAGGTCCCGGTAGGAGCCGGGTTTCGAAGAGCCTGGCGGTAAGAGAGGTCGAGTCCTTGTTGAGCCATCCAACCTGCAACCAAGAAATAGTCACACATCAACTTAACATAAACGCCGAACAAAGAAAGCAAAAACATACCATCTAATTCAAAATGGGGCCGAGGTGATTTCGGCAAAAGAACGAGAAATCGAGCGGGAATCCCCCGGGGTAGACTTTTTAAGTAATCCAGGGCCGACACCTCCGCCTCGGTCAGCATCTCGACCGGATACTCGTCATACTTCCGAGGTATCTGGGTCCAATAGAAAGGAAACAAGGGTTGCCCAGCCGAGTCATAGAAGTAGTTACGACCGGCTACCGGTTCTATGATAACTTTCAAGAAGCCAGCTTTGAAACCCTTAAAAGAAGATGTGAATGGCTTTAGAAGGGGTCGGTCAGGGTGCCTGACTAAGGATAACCACTTGACGAGTGCAAAAGAAATGTAAAAATAGGCCGACACTAGGCTCGATGTAGTGATATTTACAGAGGATGCGAAAAGCTTGCATAGCCGCCCACCCATTCGGGTGTAATTGCGTCGGCGAAACATTAAGCACGCGCAACACACCCATTTGAAAATTGCCAAAGGGTAGAGACAGGTCGAGCTCTCTAAAGAGGCACTCATACACATAGAAAAAATCACCCTGGTTTTCTCGCTTCGCGAGAAAGACCAAGTCGGACCCCCCAGGGCCTTCAGCCTGGCAACGACGTAACATAACCGGATAAGGGTCCCTATCTTCCCATCGGACTAATTGACAAACTCCCAAGAGGCGTTCCACAGCGACCCTCTCATAAAAATGCGAGAAGTATGCCGCAACCTCACCATCTACCCACTCATACCCCGGTATCTCACAAGGTTGAAACTTTTTCCGGTAATCCCAGGGATCCATCTCGGCATCCGGAAGGTCCGAGCTAGACGAATCCCCCGAAGACCCCCCACTAGAACCCCCCGGTTGCTTGGACGAACCCTCGGACAACTCCACGTCAACGATGGGTGCCGACCCACTCTCTTCGGCCGAAGACCCAGAAGACAAAACCACCTCCTCAGCCATTAAACAGGAATTGACCGAACAAGCTAAGCCTACCTTGGCGAATACTCAGATTAAAGCCGGACAGGGATGTCGGGGTACAGAAGAAATGATAATATACGGGCGCGAGGAAGACCCTTACCCCACTCCCATATATATACACAAACATGAGGGAACGCGAAACGCCTCTCGTAAAGGCCTTGGGAAGCGAAATTCCATGCCTGTACAATACGGCACGCATCCCTAAGACGTTACAACATGCAAAAGTCACATCAGAGACACAACTCCTGAGACCGCACCCCTTGGGGGGGCAGTGTACTATACTGAGTAACCCTTTTGGCCAACACAAAGGCTGAACACCCAATCGGCTTAAAGAAGTGCCGAAGAGGCATACTGAAATAAGAACACTCCCTTCAGCCAGTTCAAAGGTCGATGCCACGAGCATAACGAACAAGCTGCGATACCAACGTTAGGGAAAAGCATATATTCGGCCATTGAGAAGGCGGAACACCTATTCGGCCCTGAGGAAGGCCGAACACCTATTCGGCCATCAGGAAGGCCGAACACCCATTCAGCAAAGAGGTTGGCCGAACATCCATTCGGTCAACAAGTAGGCCGAGCACCCATATGGTCACGAATCTGAACGACAGGTCAGCATGCAATTATGGGAATTCTTCTGACTAATCAATGATTAAAGACTAATCAAGAGGTAACAATCCCCTATTACCCATATCCCAAGACAGAAGGCCCATCAGGTCCAAACAGGCGCAAACCTGTCATTATAAATACACAGGTGATGGGACAGGAACATGTATGATTTATTTCGTATATAAACCTTATTGCTCTATACTGAACACTTACTTGAGCGTTGGAGTACCTTTGTAGGTACCCTCTCCACCCTTTGGAGATAGTATTCGGTCGACACCGAAGACCTAAGAGACCATGAAGAAGGAGCGACAAGAGAAGTGTTTCTAAGTAGGAACAATATCATTTTATTGTTTTGATGGTATTGTCTTCTTCTTCGCTTTTTAAATTTTTTTTTTATTGACAGATTATTAAATCAATGAGTTATATCCTTTTATTTAAAGACAAATGATTTTGACCCAACTTTTCAAGGAATGAAATAGATGTTCCTACCGGATCACTGCGGTTTGAATAAGGTTTGGCTTTGCAGCTACAAAATAATAATTTATCCCGATGCACCTAGGAAAAAAATAATAAGTAAAAGAGTTATCACATGAATTTTAATTAATTAATTTTTTTTTTATTTTTTATACTTCTACTTATTTTATCTATTAATTTTTATAATTTAAAAATAAATATTTTTAAGTCTTTATATTTATCTTTTTTAATTTATTTTAATCTATGTAATTTAAGATAATATTTTGTCTTTATATTTACAATTTTTAATATTTTAGTTCTTATTATTAATTATATGAGGATAAAAAGTGGTGAATCAACAATGAATATTATAGTGAAAGATAAAAAAAGACAGAAAGCATCAAAAGACTTAATTTAAAATAATTATATCAAAATAAATTTGATATCAAATATAAAATATTAAATTAATATCTTTGTCATATCAATATAAAAGAGACAATAATCCAAAAAAAAAATATGTTATAGACTAAAATAATTTAAAAACTATAAATATATATACTTAAAAGAAAAGAAGATTAAAAAAATAAATATAGAGACTAAAAAATAAATTTTTAACCATAAAAATTAAAAAAATTATTTATTTTAAACCATTTTTATATATATATATATATATATATAATTATTTTACTGCAGCATCAATATTTCTATTCCTTAAAAATAATCAATTTTATTACTCTAATAATATTTATAAAAAAAATACACCAATAATTGTATAATACAAAATATCCGTAATTTAATTTTTTTAGAATAGCCTTAATTTGTTCTAAAAAAAATAGAATATCCTTAATTTAATTTTTTAATTATATTATTAAATGTCATTAAATTAATTCGTAAATTAGCGTTTCGTTACATCCGTTTATCTCAACTCAATCAACGTAAAATCAATGTAAGACACTGCTTTATGAAACTAAAGTCTGTCAAAAAGAATTATGAAAAATAAATTAATGTTTTTTTTATATATAAAATATACCGATAATATCCTTGAAAAATAAAAACTAGACTAAGCACATATTGAAGAATAATTTAATATTAATAAAATAATTATTTCATTTTTAAAACAAAACAATTTAAACATAAACATGTCTTTCAATTTAATATCAGCGATAAAAAAAAGTGACATAATTAGTAAATAATTTTTTTTAAATATGTGATTAAGATTCAATTCTTAAGTTATTTGTAAATATTTATTAGAAGAGTTCAACTTTCTAAATGAATTCCAATAATTTTAGTGATTTATACTTAAGAACGTTGATGGAATACTTACATCCATATATTTCTATTTTCTTAAATAAAATATTACTCTAAAATTTATATTTAAATTTTAAGGACAAAAAATAAATTCTTCATATTCTCCTTTTCTTTTAATTATACATAGTCATCTTCGTTTTATTTTAACAGGTGGTAAACATTATAATAGATTAAAAGTTATTCTTAATAAATTATAAATAAAAATATAAAAATAAATGTATTTTATGTTTTAATTTCATTATTCTTATAATTACTTGCAAATATCTAATTATAATTAATTTTATTGAATAAATTTAAATATTTATTAAAATAATTAATTAATATTAAATATAATTTATAATTAGATAATTAATTATAATAAACTTAATATTTTTTAGATTTTAAAAAAATATATTTTGTATAATCAGTTATCGAATTTTTTACACAAATAATACTATTTAAAAAAATTACCCAGATAGCAACTATGCAAATTTATTTCCCCAACTAGCACCATTTATTGTTCATGTTCAGAACTAGGGATGACAAAAATACTCGCACACGCGGGTATCTGCGAGTAAAATTCGCTACGGATAATAAATGGATAGGTTAATTGGGTACCCGCGAATAATGGGGACGAATAAGTTTTTACCCATTTATAAATGGAGCGGGGGCGGGTATGATGATATCCATACCCGCAGGTACCCGTTTAATAATATTTCTTAAATGTCCTGATTATTCTTGTATTACAAACCCTAAAACTATATTCCCTCATCTTATTTTCTTACAAAAGTGAGGTTGATGAAGTTACCAACATGTGTTAAACATGTTATAGAATTATGTTGGATATAATTTGATTAACTTTCTAGCTTTGATTGGACCAATAAAATTTATGTATTTTAAGTTGTTTACTTTCGTTTGGAATTATGAGATTGAATTATTGTAACTTTGTGATGAGACTTTAACTTACTTGTGAGATTGATGTATTTTAAGTCATTGATTATCTTATATTTTTATTATTATTTCAAAAAAATTAACGTTAAATACAAGTTCAAAATTAACATTGAATTTTTATTTTTAATATTTCAATGATATTAAATATAGACTTAAAATTATTTATAATATAATTTTTTCATTTCTTAAAATATTTATAAATATTCATGGATATCCGTGGGTATTCAAGAAATTCATGGATATCCGCTCAATGGATACCCGCGCGGATATGGGGTGGGTATGGGGACAATTTTTATCTAGCGGGGCGGGGGCGAATTTACTATTACCCGCCCCCATGGGGCCCCATTGCCATCCCTATTCGGAATGGGCTGTTTTGAAATTAGAACAGGCCGTTCCGGATTAAAAAATAACACATGACAAACGGATCAAAACGGACCGTTCCAAAATCAAAATTAGCACATAAAAGTGAAACCAGAACGGGCCGTTCTACATCTAGAACGGGCCGTTCTTGCCTATAAATAAAAAAATTTTGTTTGATTTTCACTTATCAAAAACCAAAATTCAGACATCAAATAATTAAATTTATTGAATATTAACATTATAAATATATCTAAATAAATTTATTAAAATTCAATACAACAATAAAGATCAATGGTGGCAGAAACTGATTATGTTGTTCTTTAATGTCCATCTCTATTTTAATCCTACTGGACTTTGGTCGACCCTTGAAAGTTCGCTTAAGTTCTGGATTTGGCCACAAAGTTAGACCAGTGTAAGTAGGCCAATAATCTTCCCTTTAAATAGCTGAGTGATTGTTATCGTTAAGAAAAATATTTTTTATAATAGATAATTAATAATCCACGATTATGAGGTGATTCCTTTATCAATTATGTAAATATAACATGTACTTACACGAATCAGGTCGGATCCCTAACTCGGATAAGTCGTCTTCCTGGTTGGATTCAGCCGAGGTTGTGTGAGATCTGTCAATAGGTTAGGTTGAGTTCCTTCTCTCCGGTTTCCTGGCTCGAGCGTCTCGGATGTATCTGCAAAAAGGACTCCGACGATCAAGTTAGTAACCATTTCATTGTTTATTCTCATACTTATCCTTTACCTTTTTTTTTCTTTTTTTCTATATAACTGCTATAGTGGTTATCCGAGGTGAGTTAACTACAGTTGAGTTAGTCTTTATCGTCACATGTTATATATATATTTGATGTTGCTTATGGTGAGGTGTCGGTCTTATTGACCTCGAGGTTTGCGTCAGTATACATATATGTATGTAATCGGTATATTACCCCATGATCTCGGTGTGAGCTCGGTCCTACGTCGGGGGTGGTACATAAGCCCCCCAAGCTCTGAGTGATATAAGAGCGAAAGAGGTTAAAAATGAATGTAACATCTGAGATCAAAAAAGGAGGTGTCACGTCCCGACAAATAAAGGCGCAGAGGAGGTGACATGAGGAGTCACAGTGGTTGAGTAAAGACAGCTGGTCATTTAAGGGGTTACGTCACTTCAGCATACGCGTGGAAGTAATAATAATGTTTCATTAAGAGGCGTGAAACGCGAAACGACAAGCGCGTTGGGATGCGTGAAAAATAAAGAGGACGTTTGAGTTTTGAAGGGATGCAAAGGCGGGCATTTAAAGGGTAACTGGGCATAGTTGAAGATATTCGTAGTTGTTCAGAGAGTCGTGAAAAGGTGAGGCGTGGAAGTAGGAAAGGAGCGTCATCGTTGGTGGAGTATTTGTATTTCCAGGTATTGATTTAACCTCGCTGTTTTTCATTTTAAAGTCCTTCCACCTTCTACGCTTAGCTTATAGGGTTAGATTGATGAACAAGGGGAAGATGAAAAGTGGCAAAGGAAAAAGTAAAGTGACGGAGGCGGAGGAAGCAAAAGTACGAAAGAGAAGAGGAAATAATCGTAAAGATTCACATCCTAAAATCGCAACATCTGGGTATGAGTAGGTGAGGGGTGATGTGGGGCAATATAGTAGCAG